AGTATTATTATGGCTGGCCTCTCTAGGCTGCTTGCTGAATGCTGAGTATTATTATGTCTGGCCTCTCTAGGCTGCCTGTTGAATGCTGAGTATTATTATGTCTGGCCTCTCTAGGCTGCCTACTGAATGCTTAGTATTATTATGGCTGACCTTTCCAGGCTGTTTGCTGAATGCTGATTTATGCATGATGGCAGTTTTTGCATATTTTGAATAATTCCCATTTGATAAAGAAAGTTTTCTAAGTCTGTGAGATGCTTTTTTTTAGATGCATGCAATGCATATTTTAGTTTCCCCTTTTTGGAAGGTGGATTTTCTTTTCTCTTTCCCACGAATGGACTGCTTCGATTAATGTGCAACATTAGTCATATTGGCCGTTTGGTGTATTGAGTCATCTTGGGGCTCTTTTTTTTATTTATTTTTTTTATACCCTTTTGCGCATCCTTATGTCATATGCATGTTATGCAATGATGCTTCTATACTAATGCTTAAAATGAAAATTCATTTTTTACTTTCAAGAAATTAATCTATGCGCATTAATCAATGATATAGATTGTTAGCTTTTGGCCGTGCCAAATTCATTCCAAGAGTTGCCTCTTAAACTTGACATTTGTGTAGTTTGGCCTTCTCGCTTGTACCGGATACAATGTGTTGGCCTTTAGATCAAGTGTACCTAGACTCTGTTCTTAGACACCTCCAACTTTTCCTTGTGAGTGTTCACTGTGCATACTCCATGTATCTCTCAATATTATCTTAATGCCATATAGGTCAAGAGAAAAGAAAAGAAGGGGATATATATATTTTTCGCAAAAGGTTTATTAGAAGGGATTTTTTTTTTAATAAATGGTTTTTTAGAAGAATGGTTGGTTGAGGTAGGCTAGTGTCTAGGCTGATGAACAAGCATATTTAAAATGAGGAAATCATTTTTTGCGTTGACTTATTATTTCCTTCAAAGTTAAACGATGACTTAGGATTGCGTATTGATTAAATGATCTTCTCGAGCCGCCTTTCGATTTTCAGCTCGGGATGCTGCTTTGTCCTAACTTTTGCCTAGGTTACTTGAGATGTGTTCCCTAGCGAACATTTTCTTTTCGATCCTCACTTTTGCCTAGGCTACCTTTTTTGTTTATGGGTCTCCTAGCGGGCCTTGCCCTAATTTTTGTGCTGCCCTCTCAATGGGTTTCTTGCCAGACTTTTGTCTTTGCAGCATTTGTGATCATCTTTCATTCCTTCATTAAAGGGGGATGCCCCTTGCACTGATTTCATTTGGACTTTTATCCATAAGTCATGCCAAATTTGATTGATCTTTATGTGTTCCTTATCGCGTATTAAACCATTGTTTCTAATGACGTCCTTATTTCAAATGTACTTGTTCATTTAGGGTTTGTTGACGAGACTTAGAATAGATTGAAGGAGGAAAAGAACTAAAGTAGAGAGATGTATGGCATTAAAGATAACACTTTCGATTTACATGTTCCCTTTTAATGTAGCTCGAGGGCCTGGGCATGCCCCGAGTTCGTGATTTATACACAAAGAAGTAGAGGGAGGTTTCCCCTTAGAGAGGTATGGTTGTCTGACTATAGAGCTAGTCCTACAGTTTCTTGGATGTGGTGCTTCAGAAGATCTCGTGTAAAGGGAGGTCCTTTGGCTTCTTCTGTCATAAAGGTGTTGTCAACTCATTTCCTGAGCCTTTCTTGAGAGTAGGAATGGGTAAAAGCGATGATAAAGCTTTCCATAGAGTCTTGCTTCTCAAGAGGAACATTCAACCCGTGTCTCGATCTTCAGCTCAAACAAACATTGCTTTTTTTCTTTTTTGCCTAGAACGCCTTTTGCGGGTTTTCATTCTATCATCTTCTTAACAAACAATGCTTCTCTCTTATTGAAATCACCTTTCAATAAAGCTCTATTCACTTTGCCTTAGTGTTTGAGGGATTCGTCCTCCTCAGGTCTCTTTATTAGCTTGCAACTCGTTAGGAGTGTGGATCCGTCCATTCCTAGTCATTTTTCCTATTCTGCTTAGATTTCGCGGTTGAACGACACGACTTTATCCTCATAGGGCAAGAGTTGGCGTCTTGATGATTGTGGAGTTCTTTACCCTAAACTCTTTATGCATGGCTTACTTTCCATTACTACCGACTAACGCACATAGGTTAATTTTTCTTTTTTATTCTCATTTATTCTTTTACAAGGAAGGATATGTTCTAAATGAATGTAATGCAGAATGTAAAGAAAGTTGAGAATGATAAATATCAGTCTCATTGATTTATTTATCTGTGAATGCTTAAATAAATTTTGACAATATTAGGCGGGAATCTATTAGATTCTAAGAAGACTTACTTTAACAAACATATCAAAGCAATGACCCAACCATAGTAGTTTTTAAAAAAATCAATTTGGACTTTTTCTTTAAAACACAGATACTGTCATATATTAGAGCATTCACTTTTCTTAACTTCCTATACATACCGCAACCTAATCCTCCTTAACTAATAAAATAAAATAAATGAAATTAATGAGCTAAACTAGAATGCATGTCATTTTTTTTTGCCTAATCTTTATCATGTTTCTATTATCTAAAGGGGAATAATGCATGATAAATATGAGATTTCCTTTATTCATTTTTTCTTTTAAAAAAAGAAACTACCTATATGATGTTGATTTGTAGATTAATTTACTTTCTTTTTAATTGGTAAAAGGGATTGAATCTATTTTGCATTACTTGAATTGTGATTACTTTTTTGGGCAATTAACTGCAGTCGAGAATAATAATCAGGATTAGCATAGAATTCAATTGGAATGCATAAAGTTTCAAAGCAGCTATTATATTCAGATTGTTGGTAGCTTCATAATTTGAAAGTGTTATCTACCCATACCTATCTGTCTCAACCCTTGTAACTAATAACAATATAATAAATGGATGATGCCATTATATATTGATGGACAATCAATTATTTGACCACACAACCAATTTTTTCCCGATTATAAACTTGCCCACAGGATTGTCTCATTTTAAAATTTAAGTTTTTTTTTATTGGTAAAGGGAAACGATAACTAAATTCAATAAATAATGTCACCAGCCATTTTCAATTTTCAGTGGACAACACATCTTCTCCAATAAACGAATAAACAAATTTCAATATTGATTCAAGTACAGTGCATTTTGATCAAACAAAGGGAAGAAGATAAGCATGAGATTTTTTTTTTTTTTTTTTTTTATAACAAACAAAAAAATCTTGGAATCTTGCTTCATACTATCCTATATTTACATTAAACAAACCCATAGCAAAATAATCTAGTACTACTACTACCATACTACCATTTTGATTTAGGAAAATTATTATCCTAAATCAGAGAGGACAATCAGCAGCATCATCCCTCTCTTCAATTCTTTCATCCTTTGGCCACTGAACATCATCATTGGAAGAGCAGAAGGCCATAATAATCTCAAACAACCATTAGTGGAGACAAAGGTGACAAAGGAGGCACACTAAAGATGGTTCCCATAACATCAGTGTCCCAAAACCCTTTCCAACATGAGGGGGTCAAAGGGCATACCCCTTTTGGAGAACACTCTTCTTTCTTCACCATCTTATTACTATTGTTATTATTAAAATTATTACTTTCTTCATCATACTTGTTCCCTTGTTTCCCTTCACTCTCTTCCTCTCTCTCTCTCTTCACACCAACCTTGATGGTGCAGTTTGAAACTGATTCTTCTGACTCCCCAACCTCCAAAGGGAAGTTCAATATAGCCTTGCTCCCTCTCATCTTGAAAGCTGCTTTGTCATAAGCCTTAGCAGCTTCTATGGCCGTGTCAAAGGTTCCAAGCCACACCCTTGACCCTTTTCTATTAGGGTCACGAATTTCAGCAGCAAACTTACCCCAAGGCCTTCTTCTAACCCCTCTATAGTGCTTCTCCTCTTTGGTATTGTTGGCATCATCTGAAGAAGAAAAAGAGCTAATCTGATTGTTGCTAAACATAGTTGTTGTTGTATCCATGTGTTGTGACATAGCTGTTGCAAGACCTGAGGTTATGGAAGGGATTGTGATGTTCTTCAAGGAGGGTTTGCGGTTGCTTAGGTTTGAGGACTTTGGAGGCTTGGAGAAAGATTGTGAAATTTGAGGCATTTGAAGGTGGGGTTGGTTCATTGGTGTGTTATTATTGCTGATCATGGGAACTTGAAATTGAAATTGAAACCGAAGATCTTGTTGGGGTACAAGGTAATCAGTGATGCTGATATCAGATTGTGAAACTGAAGTTTGAATTGGTTGTGAAATTGAGGTGGAAAAGGTGAAGTTGGGTTCAAAGCTTTGCATGGTTTTGTAATTGAAGGTGAGAGAGAAGGGAGTGGAGTTGGTAAAATTGGGAAAGTGGAGAATTTGTTGAGTGGAAATTGGGGAGTGAGGGATTGTATAAATATGAAGATGGGTGAGAGAGGATTAAGAAAATGAGGAAAATTAAGAGTTGGGTTTCTAGAGAGGTTCCAAGATGGAGAGAGGAAGCATCGTTTTGTAACTATCAATAATTGGTGTTAGAGGAAATGTCACATCTTTTTTTTTTGTCGTTTTGGAATTTTCAAATGTCAACTTGACTTGCTTTGTTGCGGAGACCAATAGTGCACGAAACGACGCTTCGAGGGTACTTCCCCTTTATTTTATTTATGCAGTTAAATGTTTTCCCTCTATCTGTGTGCGTAGTTTTCTGGAACTTCTGTTTTATAATTCTTAAAGATAACAAATTAAAAAGTATTTAATTTATTTATGTTTGAACTAAATTATCTTTAATTATTATTTTATAGATTTGTACAATACTTTCACTAGTGTAATTTCTTAAGAATAGTTGTTGTTTTTCTCTAATCAAAATTGAAATTTTGCTAAAATTTGTATTAAATGAAAATGCATATCATGAGTTAAAATTTTTGGTTAAAAATAACTTCAATCATATTTAAGAATTGTATCTAAGTGTTTTCTTATTTTTAACTACACCCATACCACTCAAAATAACATTAATGTTTCACTTAAACTAACCTTAATTACTCAACTAAACATAACATATTGGAAAAATTACACATCAAAATTAAAATTAGTGTTTTGTGTATATGTGAACCCTAAAAGAGTTAGTGTTTTGTGTGTGTATCAATAACTAAAAAAAAATTAAAATTTTTTATGTCAACATTAAAAGAGAGAAAAGGGAGATAGAGAAAAAAAGAAAGAGAAGACAACAAGAGATGAAAGCGATAAAAGTTATTTATAAGTGAGACAAAAAAGAAAAGAAGAAGAAGAATTTCAAATTCTTACTTGCTTTTTCAGAGAATTTGAAATTCTGCAACTTTGAATAATTTCTCTTTTGAATTTCAAATTCTTATGAATTCTCCATCCAAACAAGACATTTCATCCCAAAGCAATTGAAATTCATAAAAAAAAATGAATTACTCACTTAAATTGTCTAGAAGAACTAAAGTTTTGGAATAGAGTAAATAACTAGGGTTTAACCCCTAGTTTGATCATAGAATTGTAACTAGAGATATAATTTTTCCTATAAGGACCGACTAGTAGAAAAGAGTTGTACCTCTTTATTAAAAAAAAATACTCATTCCGTTAAATTATGTTTGACATTTTAGCAATTTTGTATGTTTCAATTTGATTGTTGCTTCACAATATCAATGTAACTTTAAGTATTTTTTTTTCTTATTATAACCTTAATCATTATTAATTCATTTTTTTTAATTATTGGTGAGAATCCAAAATGTTAAAATGTATATTTGAGAAGTTACATAATTTATCTTATGATGAAATCAAACATACTAATTGTATTTCTTAAGTTTCATGCTAAAACTTTAAAAATCAAAACAAAATGAAACGGATGAAGTATATTAATCGAAAAAAATAATTTATTAAATTTTCATAAATGATTGTAAAAATAGTGTGCATTGCTTTAAAAGACATTAAAGAAGTTTAATTATTTTGATAAATATGGACTCAGATTATTATTTTTATGTATTCAATCTAGTCTTTGAGAATTATAAGTGTGTTTTTAGTATTTAGTATGGAAAAAAATTGTATAAGAAAAATGTTCGATCCAATTCAATGTAAAGTGCAAAATGTAAAAATAAAATAAAATTAGACTAGATTGGATTTTGAATGAAAATAGTAATATTTGTGATGGTATTAATGTAATTACGCGTAGATTATTGATAAGTATATAAATCAATTAATATGAAATTGTTGTAACTTAATTCATTATTTTGAATTTGAGTCTTTAGTATATAACTATGTTAAATATTCATAGAAAAAACTTTGTTGACTATAATTAATAGAGGATACATGTGGTTTATAAAAAAAAATTTACTTTTAGATTTATTAGAACATATTTTTTTTTTTACAATATAAAAGTATTATTACATCATACAGAAGCATCTTATTAATGTAAAATATATTTTTTTCATTCAATTACAAAACAAAATTAGCATACATACTAAATAGAATTCATTTATCACTCAAGGGTATCATACAAACAAAGAAGAAACCAATCAACATGTATTTCCACTTGTTTTCCTGTAAAAAAGGAAACTTAAAGGGACTAGTCACAAGTCTCTTTGAGTAAGAACTCTAGGATAGTTAGACTATTCTACCCAAACAACCTTTTTTTATTAGCTCTCAAGACTTTATCCTCATTGGGTCACTAGTAACTATTCATAGTTATGGTCAAATCTAAACCTTTCAAGTGATAACACCTTTTGTGGATTTCTCTCTCATTTTTACACATCCACTATAGTAAGTCAATCTCATCATTAACTTATGACACTTTCATAACACAACTCTCTTTAGTTGGCTAAACTATTATTTTAGAAATATATGTTGTGATCAATTTCAAGGTTAGTATACCATTGAGCACTCTTAGGATACATTAATTTATCTTCTATTACTAGAATCATATTGTGGCATTTACATTAGTAAGTACAAATTAAAAAAAAAATTCTAAAATCATCCCAACTAAGACTTACACAACGCCCATCTTAGGTACAACCATTAACAATTATATTTTGCAATCTCTGTATCAAATGAAATTCACACGCATAGAAAAAAAGGTCATTTACCCATAATAAGTCACATCACAAATCATCGTTTTGAATTTTATCTGTGGAGATTGACAAGTACGAGTTTTATTTTTTTGCATCCCTAATGGAAGTTATAAGGTGGTATAAGTGGTATGAAGGGAATAATATAGGACTAGAGTGATAATGAGAGAGTAGGTTCAAATCTTCTTAGCTAACATAACTTTCAAATTACTAACTTTTGCTTATAAAAAAAAAGGACATTTGTATATTTATTTGTGGTGTGATAACTATAGGTAGAATCATTTTTTAAGTGTTGATATTAGTTACATAAATATTGAGAGTTTTCATAGGATTTCAAGAACTCCCAATTTGGGAAAATTTGTGAGCTAAGCACAAGGTTACGCCTTCAAAGCATAAGGCTCTAAGAGGGACAAGTGATAGAAAAACCTACGAAGAAAATGACCAAATTTCCATAGCTTCTTCCTAACTCCTCCAATCTTAATCCGTGGCTCCAAATATTAAAGAACTCAAACAAATATGTATAGAAAAAAAAAGGTGGAGGTACACCACTTCCAAATGGAAGATAAGCAAGAGAGGTTGATCTTGTAGGGAGAATTCCTTTATAAAAGATCTTAAGGAGAGAAGTTATCCTTAGAGAGCACTAGAGACTTTCAAGAGAGAAATTTGAAATCTCAATTTTTATAAATTCTCAAAGTAGCGAGTTATGTGTACAAGGATCCTATATATAGAGTTTGCTAGCTTGTGGTGCAACTTAAGCTAATCAAGGTTGAGCGTAACTAAAGTTAGATTAACTTGTATTCAAGCTAATTAACTCTAGTTAAAGTTTGAAATTAAAATTTGAACTTTCCCTCCATTATTTAGACATCTCATCCTAGATCTACAAGAGTTAATGAGAGTTAGCTACATGGCAAAGTACAAAAGGTGTGATAGGGGTGTTAGTAGAAAAAAAGGGTGTACAAGTAAGCATGCCAAAAATGTGGCTAGTGTGTACAACATGTGACTTGATCAGTTTGTTTGAACTAATGAGAGAGAGCCCCTACAAGAAGTGGACGTACACTTCTATGGATAGTAATATCCATTCTTTCATGGTCCAAACAAGCCCAATAAGCACATATTACAAATATTAGTTGCTCCTCTTCTAAAATACTAAATACAATCCTAAAAAAGAAAATTACAAGAAAATAAATTTCTAAACTAATTGACCCAAAAATACAAGGTCAAAATTAAGAAAATATTTATAAGGGAAATATTAATAAAGGAAAAAAATGGACTACATAAAGTACCCAAAGCTCAACATAAGCTTGGTCCTTCTTTTTTTAATCCTAATTCACTCCACTTGACTCTATTTGAACTCGACCCATGGGCATGATTCCATTATACTCTCCTTTTAGAAGAGCATTTTTCCTCAAATCTAGAGTATCCTTTTCCGTTTCTTCAACACCTACAAAAGAAAGTGCTATACAAGCATTAATGGTGTTGTTTTTGCAACGAACATAAAAGATGTCTAACTTAAGGGTACTTTTTAGATATGTGGTGGGTCTATCCTTAATATCTTTTATTTTATTGGGATCCTTTTGAATTACTTTTGTTCAATCTAAAGCAAAACTATATTTTTCAATTTTTCTAAAGAATTTTTTTTTCTAAAATCTGCAAAATCATGCCTTAAATGTCCTATCTGATCACTTAGACTCCTAAGAACTATACTATTTACAAAAAAATTTCCTTATCTGCCTAATGGACTAAGTGACCTAGAGTCACCATATGTAAAACATTTTGGGAACGAGGTGGTGTCCCTACGGTTGGAAGGCTTGGAAAAGAGCATGAAACTTTTTTTATAGGTGGGCTAGTTAAGAGTGACACCATAGGGAGTTATTTCAAAGAAGTAATAAGGTATCTACCCTTCAACAATACAACTCCCGCACCTAAGTTAGGTGCATGATATTTGATAGCTACAATCATCTCACTATCAAATTAAACTAGTTTTCCCTATAAATTTGGTAATATAGGGAACCTAGGTCAAAATCCAAAATCACAAACCATAGAACACGAATCTTCACATGCAAGTTAGCTATGGGATTTTTTACAAACAGTTTAAAGGTAATTAAATTGTAAGCATAAAGTAGACAAAAATTTTCATAAATTTTTTTTCAATCGGATAAAACATCAATTCAAGTTATGATGATTGCAATATAAAAATAAATATAAAAAAAAGATAATTCAAATTCCAACATTTAATATTCAATTCAAATTAAAGAACAAAGAATGCAATTATGGTCTATGAAAATCCTATGAAGACAACTTTGTTTCATATTGTTTCAATTCGAATTGAATCCAATTCCGTGTTCTAAAATTAATTCGAA